GGTGGAGGCTGCGTGCAAAGTCCGAACAATTTGAAACGGTCTCCTCTTTCTCGACGCTTCCTGGAATACCGAGGTTACCGAATACGGAGTACTTGGCCTGTGAAAAGCAAGAATGAAAAGAAAAAGCCAGGTAAGCTATGTCTGGCATCAATCATTGGCCTTGTTAGTACCCGTGGAGCCTGAGATACATGGAGCCTCTATCAGAGATCGTGGATGCCTCTGGAGAGAAACACCCCTCATTCCGGTCAACTTCTTCATCTGCGAGGCCAGCAGGTGCTACGGCCATCTGTACTCCGTTCTCCGTGCAGTATGTGCATCCTCCGTGCGATACGATGGCACCGAGCAGTCGGATAATACTCGAATGATAGATGTGCCGTCGGTGGAGCGGCACTGCGATCCGGTCCTGGGTAATATAGGCCAGGATGATAATGTTATGCTTTCTTGGAGCAGCATGATTGACCGATGATGAACCCCACCGAGAGCCACATCGGCTAGTCCACCACCTGTGGTGCGAGAAATTCCCGATCGTCTTCGCCCGTTGCTCAAAGTAGTTTCCGGCCGTTGGGCTGGCTTAGTGTCTTTGGCAGCCGCCCACCAGCTAGTTAGCACCCTACGGAGGACCACCACTGGTCTGCCTCGATCAAGTCCTCCGATGAGTCGACACCGTCCTGCACCTTCGAGGAGGCCGCGCGATCCCCGACCCACTTACTCATCCGGTCAACCGATGCTTCGATGTGGCAGACAGCTACGGGAATAGATGGTTGGACTCTCCCATCCCAGCTGGCGATGGATGCCTGGGAATTAGGGGGATTCCGCTCGTCGATGATAATAATCATGCAAACCAGCTTGCGTGCTCTAGTTAGTGTTCATCCTGGATCGTCGAATTCGGTTCGGATCGCCTTGCTATCGTGTGGGCCGCCTGACCATCTTTTAGGGCCTCAGCATTTCGAATCAGTTTCCGTCGAGGCTTATGTCAATCTGTTGTATCATTGAACGAGAGACAGGACAAGGACCGACATTGCTGTCCGTCGCGTTCAAAAAAAAAAGGAAAGGGCAAATAACCTTTTTACCTGTAGCGGGCAGCTTTGCCCAAAGTTGGAGTTACCCTTTTTTTTTTTAACTCTCGGCTTCTCGACGAATCTCCCCTGTTGGTCTTCCAGGGGCTTCCAGAAGGATGCTTATTTACCCAATTAGTGTATAAAAGTTTCGGCGATAGCTGCTGTTTCGGTCCATCAGTCCATGCGCCAATAACTACTCCATACCAAACGCAGCTTCTCCAGAGGCGAATGGGATCGATTGCATCCACTAAGTCCCAAATGTCTCTCTGCTCAGCCTCAAAGATCGCATAACATCGACCCAGAGCAGCCGGTTGATCCCCTTTTCTCCCCTTTCCATTATTAGCAGATGACGACTGTGTACCGCCACAGATACTGGAGTATGGAAGGGTCCCCCATTCAATCTTTGGAGAATTGCGTCTGCCACGCCTGTGCCTCCGCGCTTTGCCTATTCAATGCGTGGATGTTGTTCCGTTAGCAAGCTAACAGAAGGTGGTCCGGGCTTATTAGCTGGGTATAATATACGGACGACTGCCTGCCCAAAATCTTTTTGATCAGTCGTCAACGGAACTTTTTTGTCATATATCAATGTGCCAAACCTTAACATCAGTCTTATAGACTCCTCGACCTCCCAGTCGGACTAGCGGTTCTCTGAGGGCGGGGGCGCCCTTGGTCTCGGCTCTTTTGCGCGGTATGCCTATACACTGTGGCCATCGTTCCGCCAGTGTTATTTCACCTGCTCTCGAGTCCCAGCAAAGTCATAAGTCAAACACACGCGACACAACTCCCTCCTGATTTGCCGTCCGCAGACCCGGCGCTGTATCAGCCACTTCAATCTCTTTCTTCTCTCCTCTCGATTTATGGTTTTGGCAGCCTGCCAGAGCTTTAACAAGCTCTAGCAGCTGCCAAATGCAAGGCCGCGACACTGGCGGATCCATATCGAAACTATCCCATCGATTATCCCTCCCAGGAGCAACAGTGTAAGCCTCAAGAACAACCAGGCCTGCTTGTCTACCAGTCAAACCAACCCCAGGTCGTGCACCATGGGGCGTCCGCCGAACTGCCGTTTGCGCCCCGTGGTGCGCAGCACTCCGCGTTTCACCAGCAGCAGCATCAACATGCAACTCCAACCGCGCTACAACCTACGGCCTCCCATCCTGTCGTTCCCGATGTTCACCATCATCAACCTGTCCTCCTCAATCCGCATCAAATGGTGCCCTCACCGTTCTCGTCTCACTATGGTTCTACTCCCCTCCAGTACCGCTCGCCACGTGCGGGGAAACGGCCTCGACCGGATGATGACGACGAGGCGACTGAGGACGAGCGTCGGTTGGAGCTTCCTCTGCAAATGCTGCCACCCGAAGGGCATGCAGAAGGAACACAATCGCCAGAGCTGCTGTTGTCTGCTCAGAGCGACTCTTCATCGCAGCGCCGAACCTCTGTCCCCACCTTTGCACCGTCGCCCTTACACCAGCCGCCACAGCAACAACAACAACAACAACAACAACAGCATCATCATCATCACCACCGGCTTCCCTCTCAGGCCATCATCCATCCCTCTCAACAGTCCGCGGATATGATGTCTCCCTCGGTGCCGTCGGGCCTCCCCAGCGTGGTCGGTCAGGCAGGGATGCCCGAGCCGGCGCCCCGCCCACGAGGACCGAAGCTGAAGTTTACACCGGAAGAAGACGCGCTGTTGGTGGAGTTGAAAGAGCACAAGAATTTGACGTGGAAGCAGATTTCCGACTTCTTTCCTGGTCGGACGAGCGGAACGTTGCAAGTTCGTTACTGTACCAAGTTGAAAGCCAAGGATACGGTCTGGACAGACGAAATGGTAACAGAGCCCTTGCTGCCACCTTTGTTTCAGTGGGATAAGATGACGTATGGCCATCGTTACTAACCACCCTTGATAGGTACAACGACTTCGCAATGCAATCCAGGACTATGAAAACGACCGTTGGCGGATCATAGCAGGCAAGGTTGGCCATGGCTTTACTCCGGCCGCCTGTCGAGAAAAAGCAGCAGAGTTAGGATGATGGCATTACGGGCCTTCTATTCGGGACAGTTGAACTCAATTCCACTTCGTTTCTGACTGCTTTTCCGGACCGCTTTGACGCGATGAAAGGTGAACGACGGCAGCCAAGCATCGATTCGTCCAAGGAGTCCGTTGTCGGTTCAGCACACTAGACCATTGTTGATTTATGTCTATTATAATCTCCTTTTCTTGCATGCTCGCTTTTTCTTATCACGACCTGGGGGTATTCATTTTAACGACTGTTGCTAACGTCTTTACTCTCTCTGTTTGTTGGGGAACTCTGGTTGGGGTTGGTTTGGCCATGACAGTGCGGGATAAAACACAGTTTGGCTTCTCCAAACTGTGATGGTTGTTTTACAGGACAAGCTTTAGATTGCTCCTGGGATGGGGAAATGGTATAATATATTTGCATGGGATCGGTTGGGCATCCAGAATATTGTTCGATATGTTTCTTTTGTAATTGGTTCTGTCTTTTTTCTTATTTGCCCATTTTTCTCTCTTCTTTGTCTTTCTCTTTTTTCCCTTTTTCATCTCTTTGTTTCCATTTATATATTTTAATAGCATTTGCTTTTATGATTGACTTTTGGTGATCTCCAGGACTTGCAATCTAGGTATGCCAGCTGAGGATGCTAGGAAAACCCTATCTATGCTACGATTTGATGAGTAGGGATTTGCTAAGTACCCCTTTCATGCCCTTTCACTAGATGTTGGCAGAATATTGGGCCTGCAGCTAGTGGGAAGACGTGACTGTCTCAATTGAGTCAGCTTGACAGGCCAGCAGCCAACAGCCAGTCCCAACTGAACTTCATGAGAAGTGATTCATAAGCGTAATTGTTGTCTGTCTCATCACAGTTTCAGGGGTGTAACTGTTTATGCGAGGTAATACACGTCATGTCATGCCCAACTGAGCCGAGGTATGGAATAAGTATGATTCGAGAAGACACTATAGAGAACACCGCCATCATTCGATGCGTGCCAACAGCACATAGATTATCGTAGGCGTCCAAATCACGTGAAACGTCAGATGCTGTCACGATGCAATGCCATAATCAGGTGACTGGGGTGTAGCCCTATTGCCGTGCCCAATCCGGCGATGCTTCCGCACGAGCTCATCCAGCCAATCAGCAGGCGCAGAAATGATCGGGCATGAGGATGCTGACTAAGCGGGCTGCGGTTGTCGTCCCATTCCATTCCGGCAACGGGCCGAGCGGACTCACGCAACGCACCTCAACCTCACCTCCTCCCGACCTGCTGCTTGGGCCGAGTCTTTCCTCCTCGTCCTGCTGCAATTGTCGTTCTCGACAACCACATCGCCCTCTCCTCGCCATTGAGAGCTGATCTCTGGTTACGGACAATGTTCGTCCCACGCACTGCTGCCGCCCTTGCCCGGCGCGCCCCCGTCCGGGCCCTCGCCAAGCGCCCTTTCACAACGTCCATCGTTCGCTGTACGTGAGCCATTGTCGTTGAACCCCTCTCTTGCGATCTCAATTGGACTGCGGTATCCCCACTAGATGGATACGGTGCTTTCTGAAGTTTCATTTGCGAGATATTGGATGCTTGGGGCTGACATGCGGTTTTTCTCGTTTTTTTTGCAGGTGACAACAGCAAATACACGCCTTCGAAGCCGGGCAAGATCGTTTCCTATGAGGGTTTGCGCACACCATCTCCTTCTTCCTAGTGGCCTTTTCCCCCCTAGTCCTGGGAGCTGTTCGACCTTCTTACGGTGCCATTGGCCCCGCCAGACGGTCGGGTAGCCCCCCAGCCGACTCACCCGTTTCGTCGAGAATAGAGGCTAATCAAGATTCTCGTTTTTGCGTTCTGCGACTACAGAGGTCAAGACCGAAGAAGACCTGCTCGCTCCTGGTGCCAAGGCCGGTACCGTCCCGACCGATCTCGAGCAGGCGACCGGTCTGGAGCGTTTGGAATTGCTCGGAAAGATGCAGGGCATTGATGTTTTCGACATGAGGCCTCTGGATGCTTCCCGGAAGGGTACGTGCGGAGCATGGACGCTGCGATGTGTGTATAGCTGACGGAGGTGGATCTGGATAGGAACCTTCGAGAACCCCATCATTGTCAACGGCGCTGGTGAGGAGCAGTATGCCGGTTGCACTGGCTACCCTGCCGACTCCCACAACGTCGTCTGGCTGACGGTGAGTGAACTCCATTCCCTGGACCAGGATTGATGGCCAGGTCAGGACTGATATATTCTGCCCCAATTCGCAGGTCTCTCGTGACCGCCCATACGAGCGCTGCGGCGAGTGCGGCAATGTCGTCAAGTACAACTACATTGGACCGGAGACCGACCCCCACGGTATGTTCTTGACCTCCTCACCTCTACTCAAAGTATTTGGTACTGATCTTTCATTTAAATGACAGACCACGGTCACGGCCACCACAAGTACGAAGAGCCCAAGACCTTCGTCGACTACGTCAAGCCGGAATACTGGTACCGATAGATTTTTTATTTCTAGCCGGCATTGATTGCACAGGTTCCTTTTTTTTTTCAAGTCAGTGTGAGAGCAGAATGTGACAGTACAGTATAGTGGAATCGAAAACGAAACTTGAACGTTCTGCTCCGCGTGTACTGTACGTGTAGTGTATGTCATCTTGGATAATCAATACCATCCACCAACCGAACCAACTCCACATGTGCAGTGCAGGCTGGTGTTCCTTTCCTTCCTTCCTTCCCTCTCCCTCTCCCTCTCTCTCTCTCTCTCTCTTATCTCTCCTTTCGTCTCTTTTGATCTGTCATGTAGCATATTATATATACAGTTCAGTTGAGTCAAGTAGAAGGTGATGGTGATAAGCCCAAAAAAAACTTTAAGATTTTTCCTTCCCCCCCCCCCCCTTCCCTTTTCTCTCGAGCAGAGCTCTGAACTGAACTGAACTGAATATGAATGTATTCTTGAAGAAGCTTCATTCATACGGAGTATGATATATAGAGTTCTTCTATACAGTAGTGACTAAACTAACTACAGGTTCGTGGATCTAGATAGATATTTATCTTCTATCTTCTATCTGTATACATACATATATACGTCATTGGCTTACATGTACTGTATGTATGTACTGTACTTGCTAAGAAACTCATAGTTCATTGATTCGATTCGATTGATTACCTACCTTAGACAGAATTGTTTCTTAGCTATTAGCTTGCTTTAGTGATTGACTGATTGGCTGATTGTCTGATTGACTGCGTATTATAATTAACATACACAACAGAATTAAAAAAAAGAAAAGGAGAGAGATGATGATGTTATCTACTCTATACCATCCACAGCCTAGCGTAGATATGTATGTGTGTAGTCTTCTGACTTTTTTCTTTTTTCTCTTCGGTGCTGAGGCTTAGCTTGAGTCTATTTATTCTGTTGATTATGATTATATTGGTTTGTATATATATAATATATATTACCAATATATACATTATTCATGTATGTATGTACTGTTGTTTGTCGACTGACTGACTGATTAGTTGTAGTGTATCAAGGTGATCTTTCCAGCCTCGTTTCTCTTCGCTATGTTATCTGGCTAGAGACAACCGACAGGCTACCTCCCAAATCGACGGAGTTCCATGTATCGCAGTGGAGGATATACAAGGGCTGCCCAGGAGAAGCCCACGTAGTTGCCCATCTGTTTTGAGTCAGTACCCTGTTACTCGTCATGGCAAAGACAAGTTGCAACGGGTCATCGCCACTTACATCCGCTCCATACTCGCCCACCAACTTGGCCAGTGGACCCACGTACCAGATCTGCGCCATGCACAGGATCGCACCCGCCCAGCCCACCAGGAACGCGACAAACGCCGCGAGGCCGATCGGCAGCTTGGTCGGGTCGTCCCACGCCGCCCAGTTGTACCCCCGTCGCCGCCGCCGGAACAGGTACCGCTCCTCGAGCAGGATCGCGAACCAGATCGCCACCCAGTAGCCCATCAGGGCGAGGAAGTTGGTGAAGATCTCCGACAGATGCTCCCTGCCCGCCAGGGCGCAGACGGTGTAGATCACCGCGCCAAACGTGTTCCATGCGATCCGCGGTACCTTCTCCGCGTAGCGTCCCAGGATCTGGAAGTCGATTCCGGTCGAATACGTCGGCGGGATCGTGTTCGAGATCAGACCCAGGGCGACAACGACGGAACAGAATTTGCCGAATCCGTGCAGAGGACCGAATCCTTCAACGATCAGTGCACCAGCTCCGGACGACCATGCGGCAGAGTACTCCGGATGGGTAGCAATGCCGCTGGCCAGCCCGATTCCAACAAGGAAAGGCATTGTAAATGAGAGAGCCAGACCAAAGAAGGTAAGGCCGAAACAGACCACTTTCGGGGTGTGTGGCGGGTAGTAGACAAAGAAGTCGGCCGCGAGAGGAGCATAGGTAATCGCTGCACTTAGGCAGATGGAGAAGAATGACAACCTAGCCGTTCGTTAGACATATATAACTCGACTGTCGAAGAGAGATAAAACTTACCTGTTCCCCGTGACGGTGCGCGGGTCACCTTGAGATGGGCTTGCGAGATCGTATTTTTTCGCCGATACCCCGAACAGAATGCAGATGACAATCAGCTGGGGCAGGAAGGCAAACCTGGACAGAAAATGTGAGTGAGCAGTCCAATAGGCACGACTTGTGAGGCTCTCTCTTACCGTTCATAGTAGTGGAAAAATTTAATACCGAATGTAGCAACCCCCCAGCTAATAATGGCAACGATTACAATTCCTGGAAATGATTTAGCAACTGTTTTGCTTAAATCAACTGCAAATACAATTTTCAACTAACTCACCCACTGCTACCGACATGCTCGAGTTCGGCGACACTGCAGACAGAATCTGGCCACCCACCACGCAGTCGATCAGACAATATCCAACCATCTGGATGATGTTCAAGAGAACCACAATCTTGCTTGGCCACCATCCCATCGCGTAACGTCCAAAGACCTGATATAATTCCAAAATCAGCCACATCCCGTGCAGTGCGTGTAGAGAAAATAGCTCCTACAAGAGTCCTGTTCCCAGAGATCGGACCCCAAGTGGCCGACCACGCAGCTGCTAGTGAGCCGAGGACGGCACCGAGAACGGAGCAGAGGGACGAGTCTAGAAAACTGAGCTCGTAGACTGCCGGACCAAGCATCCCCAGTGTGATGTTGTTCGCTGCGAGGTTGATAGACACCCATAATAGAAACACTTGTAGGTACGCAATCCACGTCAGAGAAAGCCGTTCGTCCTCCTCCACTCGCTGAATCCCACGAGCTTCGAGGTTGTACTCGACCAGTTGTTGTTCAAATTGCTTCACGTAATCACCAAGGCGCGCGCCGATAGGCCGGCTATGATTTGCAGCGCCATCGTTCGGCAGTACATCATTTGGCACGCGTAAGGAAGGGGTAGTGAAATTGTTCTTATCGCTGGACTCTGCTACGTTTATTTCTTCATTTTTCGGCTCCATCCTGTTTATAGATCGGTTGTTAGCACAGACATCAATGAAGCGGCGTTGCGCTGGATGCACAAGAAACCCAATGCCTCTCGAAACACGCCATTGCGTTTACGGAGGCATTGTCGTCTCCAGTGTCCGGAAAGAAGGGAGGGGGAACAGAAGGCGTGCATGAGTTCTTTCGCTGGAATTATCCAGATCAAGTTCAACCGTATAATCTCAGAACGACAAGGCATCAACTGCAGACAGCCCAGGCGACACAATCCCAACCCCATCCATCCAAGGCGATAATAGTCTGGCCAGTCCCTGGACGACAAGTCGGGGTATCACTTTGGAACCTGACTGCAGCGCAAGCCATTGTCGAACACCGGTCCATGCAGGCCCAATTTACCTATCTAGATACCTTGATCACGGGACAACTCCGCGCTACTCGGGTTCATGATCGCCCTCTCCCGGTGCTGAAGGAAATAGGGAATGGTGAGATGTACTCGACGAGAGCCAGGATTATCCTGGAAAGAGATTCGGATTCGGCCCTGAGCGAATTATGAATGGAAGCACGTCAGTCCAGTTCAGTTTCAGGGAAGGGAATGTGCGCAGCAAGCTGTCCTACCTTGATGACGACGGAGATGGCCGTGCCAAATAGCGTAACAGGCGACTCTGACGGCGGTCAATTGGCTTGTCGAAGGAAGGAGTCTTGGTGGAGAGACATCTGTTGCGCTCGATCTTTTTTTAAAAAAAAATCTTGTTTTTTACTTTTAGCCTTCGACTAGGACGAGTTCCTGGCCTGGGCGACGGCGGTGACAGGGCGGGGTTAGCGGCTTAGCCCCGCGCCAAGTGACGTTATCCCGTACAGCTTACGGTGCTTTGGCTTCCCATCCCACGTGTCAGTAGGATCACCACGTAAATCTCATCCCATCGCATATTATGAGATCTGTGATATGTCGCTATGGACTCTGTTGAGCCTTTCTCGGCAGCATCTACAGTTCGGTTTTACTTCAATGGAGAATAAAACACAGAAAAGCCGAAAGTATTTAACTGCTTGCTTTCCCAACTTCCCGCTAAATGCTGGTACCAGAGAATCATCATGTGCCTCAAGAGAATAAGAGCATGTTCCAGCAAAAAAAATGGCGACCCGGATAGACTCCGTCGAACCCAAGGTATCCCGCTGCCCGTGACGGCTGTAACTAGGAAAGGAAAACCAAAGAAAACTTCCGAACAACCCCAAACTCCGAAGAATATGGACGAATCACAATCCTGGCATCACTCACTGAACTTGCGCCACTGATGATATGGAGCTTGACTAGGATGCACAGTGAGAGGAAGGCCGTGCTCTTTTCCCTGTAAACAAAACAATGCAGCAGATTCGTTACGTCGTGAAGCGGCATAATAGGAAAGGTAAAGAGCAAAAGAGAAATCAAGAATAAAAGGAAAATCCCGTCGATCTCAGAAAAGATTCTTGAAATGTTCTTTTGCATATTGCTCGCAGGCCTAGGGGCAGTTTTAGCATGAGACGAACTGACCATTATGCGCTGAATCGTCAAAAGTAGGGTGCATTCGTCATGCGTACCTTGGCGGGCTTCCCGACTTTCTGCCCAATGACTTTCCATTTGTTGGCCTCGTATTCCTTAATAGCCTCCCGTAGCGCTATGGACTGTGGCATGCGTTAGAAAAGCAACCAGGGCCACATAGGTGGTCTTGAGGTTCGTCTGGAACATACTTCATCTTCTGCAAACTCGGCGTAGTGCATGTCCTAAGAGCAATCAGTAGATGGAAAAGTAGACTGCGCGGACGGAGATCCTTACCTTGTACCAATGCTTCTTCACACTACCCTCAGTTCGAGTAGGAAAGGTCTACCGTGCGTTCGCAGCGTGTTAGGTGGAATCCGGCCCCATCAAGACTGCTGGCGACACCAACCTTGGCAATCTCACTCCAACTTTTCCCAGCGTCGCGCATAGCCTTCAGCCTCTGTTCCTCCTCTGCGGTCCAGGGTGTGTTGGTCCGCCCCTTCTTCTTCGGCGGGGGCTCCGAGGTGGTCGCGCCGGCAGTCGGATCGGCTGCGTCGCTGCTGGTGCCAGTGGAGGTGGGGGGTGCGGCCATGGTTGTGGTTGAGGCAGGAACCTGCTCTGGCGATGAGCGTCGCTTGCGCGGGTTCGAGGGTTGTATCGGCTGCTGCGGAGGCTGCGCTGGTACGGGAAACCCTTGAGTCGGAGTGGATCCGGCGAGCGTGGCAGGCTGCTGTTGGGCTACTGAGCGTGAGGGTGAGCTGGGGACGACGGATGTTTTGATCCGCTTGGAAGTTGGTGGTGACCTGGGCGATGTTCAGCTGTCAGCGAAGTGTTCTGCCGGCAAATTTGACCGCTTAGGCGCCGGGCACATGACCCCAGTAGCAGTTGCGACGACACATCGACCATGGAAACTCGGCGGTTCGGAGATGGCACTCACGACATTGCGAGGTTGCGATCGGCGGCAGCCAATTCATCTGTACATACAGAAGGAGATGCAGCGACTTCTGATAGCGGCGTCTCCCTCCAGAGTTCCCGAGGCTTTGCGACAACCGGCTGGCAGCGTTACACGGAGCGCTCGAGGACACAGGCACAAGAAGCGCAACAGGGACGAAAAGCGAGGTCAGAACACAGGGTGGAACAGATTGCAGAGATCGTGGATACAAAAGAACCGGTGGACGCTCGATCGGGGAAATCCGCCAGTACTCGGGCGTCGAGACATGCAATGCTTCGGGAGGGGCTGGACTGGGGAGGGGCACGTCACTCGTCGCCCATCCTTAAAGGAGAGCAAGGGGGGGCGAGGTTCACGGCCACTGATGACAGGCGAAGGGGAGAGGATGGGATACGGGAAAGTACATAAAAATGATAATGAGATGGTAGTGTATCGGCGGTGGACATGTAGTTCAAGAGCAAGAGCCGGACGGACTCGGGAATAGAGAGGCCGTCGAGGCAGCCGAATTAATTAATCTTGCGGTGGACCTGCACGCCGCTGGAGCGCACGGTCGGAGTGTCGGCGGGGGATGACATAACGAATAATAGCGACGACGAATTGTTTATTTTATCAGTGCTGCTCTGTAACTGTTTACACGCCGTCTTCGTCATTCCTGTCGACTCCTGAGCATCCACACTTTTTTGTGCTCATGCTTCCACCCGTTTCTTGTCTCCTACAGACTGCACAGCCCAACGCAGTATCACTATAAGGGGTCGGGGCCTGGCCTCGAGTCCTGAACATGATACACCCAGCGACTACCGGCAACGGTACGAAATGCGGGGAAGTCCCAACTTTTGGTACCTCGGGTGGGAAAGTCTGGTTCTCTGGAGATATTTAATTTAGTGCCCCAGATTTCTAGAACCAGGCAAGCACCTCTCTCTATATATAATCTTGTCTGTCGAAGCCAGCCTAGATAGCACATCACGCTTCATGGACGTGATCCTCGACCATCTGACATGTCTTGTAAGGCTATTGGTGCGGGTGCTTCGTATTTTTCTGGCCTTTATGCGTCACTCAATTAGAGAGGCAGTTTGGTCACCGACAGACCTACGTTGTCAGCCGCTGAACTTGACCAAGACAATTTCACAGCCCGTTTAGAGGACAGAGAGGTCAGCAGATATATATCCTGCTTCTTTTCCCTTTTAATCTCTCTCTTTTATGACAAAGAAATTGGCCATTGATTATGTGCCACAGCTGATAGGAAATAGTCCTGCCTTTATAATTACCCTGGATATGCATACAGATGACTCTCCAATTTACTGGGAATATGCCTCCTGAAGAAGTTGCACAATAATTAATTCATATTCCAGCAGTAGATGACAGACAACCAGGTATGCAGCCAGTCAGAAGGAGCTGATTACGCTGTCATCATTATCCTGTTGTTGGCCCCAACGATTTGCTTGGCTCAATCCCATTGATCAGAGTCAGAACTCCAAGAATCATTGATCTCGCAACACAACCACTCACCATTGATCTGTCTTTGGGCCTGACCAATTGTGGAATAACAATAATACTTAGGTAGATTGTTCTGGTTTGCTCAAAGTTCTTGTCCAAGTCCCCTGATGCAACAGCGACAGAAGGATAAGAGGTGTGCAGTGGCTACTTATCGAGAGGCTATCTAGAACTGAAAGAGTATGAAAGAAAAGGGAAGGAAAGAAGAGAAAAAAAGAAGATAGCAAGAAAAAGTTATAAATGGGTACTACTTACGGAGCAGTGACTTCGAAGTATTGCACTGTTTCAAAACCCGTTCCTAGGCCAAAGATGGTATTGCGAAAGCACAGTGATAGTTGCTGGCAGTCTTAGTCTTTGGGCACTTAAGCTTTTCTGCACAGGCCATCAGGGCCACTGCTTTGCTTCAGCATTTTGGATGCTATGAGACCACCGGTGATATCAGACAGGGGAGTGGGGCGAGATAGATCAGGTGAAACAGACATGGCAATAATACCTTCTTAATTAATCGCCAGTGACGGAGTACTCCGTACACTTGGGTGACGCCGAATTTCCTGAAGAGGTATAGCGTTCCTATTCAGGTATAGCGTTCAAGTGCCGCTTGGCACCGCCGTGCGTGGTCTATAAAGTTCCACTCCTCGCTGTTCCATTCTCCCAGCATCCAGCTTCATCGTCTTTACTTTGCGCTGTTGCCGCCAAGGCAGAATTAGGTGAGGCATTTTTGCTATTGAACTGTTATGCTCCTTCTACTCCATGCTGCGCCACCCCCTTTTTGTTGTTCAAAGGCATGTTTTTAGAGATCCTGACATTTCCTCTATGCAGTACTTAGGAACCAATCGTTCCTTGTTGTAATGTTGCTAACTGGAGATGCAGGCACAGAAGTCAGCAAGCTGAAGCTGTCTCGCAATTTTTGTGTATCTTTGTCCGGTTTTGGCAAAATGTATTCACAAGCTCTTACGAGGGACTTCAACCCAGTCGAAGCGGTCATGTCTGGAGCCTTCCTATGTCCTCTTACAGTGCGAATTTGCACAGGAATATTAGGAGCGTCCTGACATCGGAGACAAATACAATTTGAAGGAGGTTATACCTTGTTTACTGCTCTTTGCAGAAGGCTGGGACTCTAAATAGGCAGAGTCTCCTCTACGAAGTGATTAGAGTCTATCAAGGAGGTAAGTGTTACGATCAAAGGCATTTACTTCATCCTTAGATCATGTCTTGTAGTTAGTCAAGCTGGGCCAAGTAAAATCGGAACATTGACTGAAATGTTGTATAATTTTATGCTCAGTTACACAAGATCCAGAGCAGTTGATACTCATTTAAATTGGACAATGAAAAGGACAGCATGCATTTGATCTTCTCTGTTAACAGAGAGGGATACTTGGATGGATTTATACTGATAGAATTGACAAGAACGAAAGCAAACTGAGTTCAACAGACCATGATTAATTCACATATAGTAACCGACAAGCATTTCGAAAAAGGCAACGTCTTAAAAAGGGAGTTGATTGATAGGACCGAAAAAGATGACTGCTCAGTACCTGCAAACCTCTCAAAGACAGCGACAGCAGCGCTTCTGATACAAGATAGGGGTAAAAGCTCAATACCGGTTCCAGTTGACCGACAACTGAGACCAGTAGAACCCTGCGAACTCTATGAGCCTATATTTATACCATCCCTCTGGAAACGTTGTCGGAATTGGTCATCGACTTGAGTGAGGAGCTGCTGTGTGACCTTCGTCTCATACTCCTGAGCCCATCGTTCGATTGTGCTTTGGGGAACAACGTTTAAACCATTTCGAGCCAAGTACCTGTCTAAGTATGCGACTGCGTCTGACAAATCGTAGGGTTGAGGGCCTTTATGTCCGCCGCCGGCTAGCCGATCGAGCTTTTGTGTATTGCCAAGGAGCTGCAAGTACCGTAAGGCCCGGCGCCTTAAAAATGACTTCATTTTGTCTGATTGCATCGGCGGTCAAGACTTCCCGTTGTCTCTTCGGGATGAATAGAATTGTACGATTATTGAACCATTCTGACTCCAAATTAGGCATCTTCTTGGTGGCATACTGAACCGCTCGGACAATCATCTGGTAATCCTTCGACCCGAGGTTCTGGTTATAAAAATCAAGGTCATGGGTAGTTTCCCGAGTCCCGAGATGAACCGTATTCCCGGCTCCTCCGACAGCGATAACAGTGATATCAGCGTGGTGGTCAGCCAAGTACTGAGACACGTGACCGAGAGCATCCAGGAGCGTCGTCTTATTGAGATCTGGCAGAGGGTCTTCCGAACCAGGATTGCGTGGTGGTGCAAGTTCTAGGAGTTGTCGGCAGTTTGAGGGCCATCACGGAGCGACGAACAGATGCAACCCATGGTAGCGATAATTGAAAAACAGAAACAGGGTTCTTTGTGTTATGAAACTTTACTGTGGTAATAGAGGTTAAAGCGCCTCGTGGAACATGAGGCGCGGATATCATGAACAAAAGAATAGGTTGACCCTACCACGTTACTTATGATGTTTTTGTCACCTGCCTACTGTAAGCGTTTGTGAGAACCAATCAACTGGAATCTTAAGGTGCAGCCAGGTGAGAAACAGATTATATAACACAATTGTCCATCAAACGCTGCTCACCCTGGCGATGATACAACTTTTCATGTTTCACTTATACCTCGGAGTGATGTGAGATCATGAATCACGAAGGTCAGGGAAAGAATGCATGTACGGAAGTGGGCGCCAGAAGTAGTTGCACACGCTAACGGACGCTAGTAATTTTGGTGTTTTGCCTGGAACCTCCCTCCCTACCTATTTCACTATGGTAACCTAAGTATCTTCGAAACTCTCTCCTATTCTTGCTTACTACCTGCCTACCTAACTAGGTAATTTTTGAAGCTATTCGCAATAAGCATTCTACCTATTTTTTCTATGAAATGCGACGTACTAATGATAGGACTGCTTTTAGGACCTAACCTGCTTGCCTGACCTGCCTGACCTGCCTGCCTTGCTCCATTAAATCAAAATGGCCCGTTATCCTGTCTCTATTTGCTCTTAAGCATTGGCTCTTGTAGAAAATGCAAAGATGCCTATTAAGACTGTAGTATCTATTACCGGCATCTCAAAAAGATCAGTTTATGACCTTATAAAGCGAGCAAAGGATCGTGGATTTGAACCAGATACCAATCTACAGATTCTACCAGAATATGTGGAAGATAGCCCTCGTCCAGGCCGGCCAAAGCAAATATCTCAAGAAACAGAGCAAGTCAATACTGGATTCTGTTACTAAGGATCAAGCTGGCCGTAAGAAATCAGCCGAATATCTGGCCTATGAAGCTGGTATTTCTCATACCTCTGCCTTGCGAATTTTGAAGCGTTGTGGATTAGGTTCTGTTAAACTAAGCTGGAAACCTGGGCTAACTGATGCTGCAAAGAAGCAGAGATATTAATTTTGCAAAGCCCATGAACACTGGACCTTAGAGGACTGGAAAAATGTGATATGGACAGATGAGACTTCTGTTATTCTTGAGCATTGACGTGGAGCAACTAGAGTATTGCGAACACCTGGAGATGCCTCTAATCTAACCAGTATAATGTTGCCGTTAGAAGGGAGCCTCAGAGTTCATGTTTTAGGGATGTTATTCATATAATAAGAAAGGTCCCTGTCATATATGGGCTCCAGAGACAAATCAGGCCCAGAAGAAGGCTAAGAAAGAGCTTAAGATTATAAATTAAGAATGTGAAGCTAAATGTAGGGAGGAATGGAACCTTACTACAGGCTTTTCTTGCATAGGGCTTTGCAATCCTTGTGGCCCAAAACTACAGTAGAAATTTACTGAGAAAACTGGCAAGCTTATACAAAAATCAAAGGGGGGTATTAATTAGTATTGATATTAAAAGGTAGTATTATTTTCTATATACATATAATGACTATACTAACTATTCTTATAGGAGGTATTAGTTCTAAAGCTTATCCCCTTTGCAAAGGAGTGTATAAGAGATCGACCTAATACTATAATTATGGAGGATAATGCACCTGCCTATGCGCATTATGCACAAGGTCCAGTATACAGCTTCTATGGAATCTAACGCCTGTTATGGCCTAGTAACTCTCTAGATCTTAATATAATTGAGCCCTGCTAGATATGGATAAAGAAACGGACTACCTTTTGTAGTGCCCCTGCTGATAAGAAGACTGCAAAGCTGCTTGGCTTCAGGCTTAGGAAGAGCTACCACAGGAGCAGATCCAGCAGTGGATTGAACGGATTATGTGTCATATTCAAGGAGGTTATTCGCCTAGAGGGTAGAAACGAGTATAAAGAAGGTCGTACGGGTCAGGATTCTCGTAGTTATAAGGGGAGACAGATTAAGGGAGTGCTCTTGAGGCGGAAGATCTAGCTTGATATCAATGAAGACACTAAGGAAGGAGAGACTTTTAGAGATACCTAGATTACCATAGTGAACAGAACTGAATGGCCATGATGAAATGATTTGGTAACTGGCGATCTCATAGCATAGCCTAAGCGCCCTATCGCAGTAGGGGTGATAACAAAACCATTCAAGCTGTACCGGTGTTCTAAATAAAGCGCATCGAACAAGCTGGGTAAAGAATCCTGAGGGTGCACGTGCAGCTTAACTTGGTCTCTAATGTGTGACAGCTCCATCAGCAACCTTCATGCTTCCAAAGTCGGCTTTCTCCGCACTGAAGACGACTATCATGAATATCAAATCCTCTGATAATGCCGCTGCCAAATATTAGCTGGAAGTTATTCGCTGGCGGCCGATCCACGTCGAGTCCGCCATCCCCTACTGTCAGTGGCTTCTCGCTCACCGGGAGTCCAAACAAAGTCATTCACAGGGACGCACGCCGCTTGCATCTTTATACCGCATGTATGAGTATATTGTTTACGGATATACTCTTGGCCTACGAACTGAAATTGAATTCTTTTTTAATAAGCCCGACTGGAAGGTCTCAGAGATACCCGATCCCGCCGATCCAGATCCGAAACGATACGCTATCTTATCTGTTATTCCCCATCTTCTCACAAAGGCCTTCAATAGACTGATCAAAAGAGGCTTGCCCCGGGGTTCTCCTGCCATTATTATGGGTGATGAGGAATTGGATGAATTAGCATCCCGTCCTCGCATCCTGGAGACCGTACCCTCTTGGTGTGCGCGCGTTCCCAAACTCGACAAGACCCTCGTTATCCCTGGTTCAGATGGCGCAATCCCCGACGATGCTGGTGCAAGTTCTGAGTTCAAGGAAAAGAATATACTTGTGTGGGATCCTCCTGTCCTCTTTGTTTGATTAAATGTGTTAAAAAAGACAGATGTCATTTTCAGCAACGTTGCTAGATTTGGACTGTTATTGGCTTTTCTTTTCTCATCTCGCAGTCCTCCGACCATTGACGCGTTGACAAACCAGGTTGAGGTCATGCTCCGCCTGGCACTATGTATTGTGGATAGAAATGCGTAGAGCAAATATAGTAACCATAGAAACCCTCCATCAGATGAGACCACGTTATCGTATGCCCTCTGAACTTTGTCAAAGATGCACTCCTTCACCGCAGACGACCGAGTGGTATTCTCGGATGAAAGACATTCTTCGAGCAGCAGGTATCCTGGGGTTCTGGCAGAATAGAACAAATCTTTAACAGTAATCTGACTCACCCGAAGGGCCAAGACACAACCATTACCTCAGTTCTCAGCCGCCCCCTTTGGGGGCGGTGAAGTGAGCCGTTCACCGCCTGCTGAGTTGGGCAAGCTAACTCAGTTTTTTTTGGGGGGTCGTCTGAGAACTGGATCCCCAGCGATGGGCAGGCGCCTCCACGCGGTGCTGGGGATTAGTACTCTAGCAGTAGCATTGCCTGACTGCTGCTAGAGGAAGCGAAGACCTGCTCGAAGAAAGGAGGAAAAATGGTGTTGTGGTGGTTGGGTTTGCCTGGTTTCTCAACTTTCGCACCCCCCCTTTTTTTCTCCAACGAAACCAGACGACGACGACACAGGATAGCTAAGGACCAGTACCCTTATCGCGCTATATAATGACGAATTCGACGCCTGGTTATGACGGACTTATCGAACGAAGGATGGCTAAGATCCATGCTGCCTCAGATCTTACCTCGCTATCACCGGACGAGAAGGTCCCAAAATACTCTACCACCGCCTCTATGTGGAACAAACGTCAGGCAAACGGCTCCTGAATACAAGGACAAGTTACACAACCAGGATATTCAACATATCCATTACCAACATGTTACAGAATTGGGATAAGGGGCCCTTATATGGGGCTCTCAAGAATGCATCCAGGTGCAACTTGTGAGCAACATGTGTTGGCCCTCAATTGTACAACAGAAGAACATGTTGAGGATACTCTCCGGATTCATGTACATAGATAGTAGCTAGCTAGTCACTGTACCGGCAGTGGCATCAAGCGCATGCACGCTGCCTTCGGGGCGGCCAGGTCCGCGAGAATGAAACAATCGATCAATCAATCAATCAATCATCTCAGAACTGAACTCTATGGCGTACATACTAAGTCGCGTTATTTTGTATGTATCCAAGTTGATTGATAAAGATATTCCGAATAACTGCATATGTACCGTTGATGGTTCCTTCATTCTCTGTAATAGGACCGAGACCGTAATAGGGAGTCTTGCGAGGAGGAAGACGCTCGACTGTTGGGAACTCTAGCCAATCAACTAGTTGAATTTGAGGCTCCTTTAACTCATTTTGCTTGAGCTGCTGATCCATGAAAATGGCCTCCACTGCCCGATGGGTCTCACAGATTGCCTCTACGATAAAGTGAAGCTAACATTGTCAGATAACACCATCTTGATCGTCTGGGCCTGGCGCGTCATAAATGGCCTGAAGAGTGAGGGGAACTCCTGAATGGAACATTGTCCTCTGTAACCTTCTAACTGGAATGAATTGACCAATGCAGAGCTTGCTAGTGGTGGCAGAGATATGTTGAGAGTGGTCCTGAAGGGTTTGATGCCGGACGTCTTGATTGTAGTCGAAATTGTCCCAACATATGATAAAATTGCCATGAGAAGACTAGGCAGCTTCCTTGAGTTTTTCTGTAGTTCTCTTAGCTACTAAGAGTTAGATCACAAGGACAATATGTCAAATTATTGTACAACCTTCCCTAACTTAACAAGTTCGTTGCGGCGGCACATAATGGTCATATAGTTTGCAACAACACCCAAGCCGTAAAGAAGATTATGGTACGCCATTTTACCCCCATTATGTGTAAATGCAGGCCGAGCAATACTGGGAACTTGGTGCAGGTTCATGGAGCGAAGGCCGATGCCAATATTGAACAGATCATGAATATACTGCCCTGATACTCCTAGGATGTATCACACGCACTTGGGTGCTACTGCGTCATAACACTGACAAGAAATGCCCATAGTTAAGGAGTAGCAGCTTGTATACGTAAAGCCATCCTAGGTATATCCAACTGATCAACCGACTCTTCTGCGATAAATTGACCAAGCCCGACTTCTGGATTGTCAAATTGAGAAAGTTCAGACTAGACGTGAGCAGCCAGCTGTGAATTTCTCATGGACTCAACATTCTCAGGGATCTTGTGCAGTTCAGCAATCACTTCTTCCTGCTCATATATTGCTTCGAAAAGCTTCTGTGCCCGGGACTTGGCCGACCAGGCATGTTTTTTAACAGGCTGTGCCACTACCAGGTGATATATGAAGGATTTGATACCCCAACAATACTGTTCATGCAGCTGCTAAAGTATCATATCAATCCTTTTAGTTCTGACAATCCAGGAATATATCTGTAGTTGCTGGGTACGTCGGGCGGTGGGGTTCAGGAACGCGTTACAGGAGGTGGTGACTGGCACGCGCGTTTTTGAGACATTGCGGCCAGATATTGGAAATTTAAGGACAGAATATCACTATAAACTATTAGATACGCTATTATCTGGCATATGAAGACATACCTGATCAAAATGGTGGAGTTGACAAGAAGCCTCTCGCGAGACTGTATGTAGAGTCAAGTTCAGTGCTCAGACTATATAGATCAGGAAGCAATCTAATTAGGTTTAGCGCGCCAAAAATCCGGCAGAATTTTTAGGATCATGTGATAACGTAATTCCTGGCTGCTCCAATTACCTACCCGCACCTTCAAATACTACACAATTCTACCAATTTCAACGCGCCACTATGCCACCAAAAGTGCGTTAAAATTCAAAAAAATTGGCACAGTAAGAAGGTCGAATCCTATTAGCTATTTCTGCCATAAAAAAAATCGCAAGACCATTGACTATTTGCAAAGCAGCGCGTCTTTATGATGTCCCTTTTACTACCCTACAAAACCAACTTTGTGGTACTATTGCACAGATCGAGAGACGTCCAAGCGGACATAAATTAACAATTACTAAGGAGGAGATGCTTCTACAATGGATATTTCTTAGTATAGGCGTGGAATGCCTCCTCGGCCAGCTGCTGCACAAGATATGGCCAATATTTTGCTTTCTAAGCGCAGTCTGGCAGGTACTCAACTCCACGAGGGCAAGAACTAGGTTTCTACCTTTATTAACCGCCATGAGGAGCTTAAAACATAATATTTGCAACAATATAACTATTAGTGTGCCAAGATAAGGATCTAAAGGTCATTAGCAAATGGTTTGACCGCATATAAAGCACTATTTAACAATATGGAATCCTTATTAAGGATATCTACAATTTTGATGAGACAGGCTTTGCAATAGGCCTAATTGCTACTGCAAAAAGTAGTTACTAGAGCAGAGATATCTGGTGTCTGCCTCTTCTACAGCCTGGGAATAAGGAATGGGTCATAGTTATTGAAATAGTCAATTCAGCAGGATGGGTACTACCACTGTGTATTATTTTTAAAGGGAAGACTCATCTCCAGGCCTGGTATGAGGATCTAGCCATACTATGCAACTGGAGAATTGAGAAAAGTCCTAATAGGTAGACTACAGATGAGATTAGCATATCATGGCTTCAAAATCACTTCATCCTATATACAAATGCCCAGACAAAGGGTAAATATCAACTATTAGTCCTTAATAGGCATGGCAGCCATCTAATGCCTCAATTTGATTGCATCTGCACCCAGAATAACATTATACTGATCTGTATGCCTCCTCATTTATTTCATCTCCTGCAGCCTCTTAATATCAGCTGTTTTGCACTTCTAAAGCGCACATATGGCTACCTTATGGAAAATAATATGCAGCTTGGAATTAATCATATTAACAAGCTAGATTTCCTTAAAGCATACCTAAAAGCTTGTATAGAAGCCTTTAAATCAGAGAATATCAAAAATTGCTTTACAGCAACTGGATTAATGCTATTTCAACCAGATGTTACGCGCTGGGTCCAACCGTAGTCGTCGATACTTAACAATGGTGGTTAGGGAAGGATCAAGGAGTCTTCCTGACTCTATGTCGTTCACGAGCACGCGACGATCTAACTGATCCGGGTCTCTTGTCCTTGAGACAACGGCCTAACTGGCGAAGGGCTCTTCCTCGAACGACCTCTCTCACAAGTATGGTGGGGTCTCACAGGGGCACACGATAGGGTGCTTCGATAATCAAGAACAACAACGACTAGGTCAGAGGCAACGCCTACTAGAGCTATACCGAAGTATACCACTAGTAGTAAGAAGTCTTACTGACCCCCAGAGTAAGTATCTTAGTAACGGAATAACAAGGTGAAATTGAGCGCGAGTAAGGAAAGACTAGATACATGGCTGGAATTTTCCCTCCTTTCATATCTCCTTCTGAGTGTACCATTTGTATACCTTACAGTGGTATACCATCGAGGTCCTCCAAGGCCTTTTGGTATACCTTTCTTGGTATATCTGGATGGTATACTTATACCATGTCACGTGATCTCCGATGGTATGTCTTTGTGTAGTTTCTGCCTCGCGGGGTAATTGTTTCATCCTGCATCGCTGTGTTGGACAGCGTTGTCTCCGGTTGGTTCATAACACCAGATCAGGTCCTTCTATAGCTCAATATACAGCTTAAGACCCCTCCAGCACTATACCAACCAACTGGGTGCCAGAGACGCCTCATAATATTATTAAATTACAGCATTAGGCAGCTACAATCAAGGCCTTACTAAAACAGCGTATACAGAGCCCTCTAAGCCCTACAAATGCAGCTTTAAATCAGCTTATCAAGGGCTGTTAATTAGCCATGAATAGTGCTGCTATTCTTGCAAAGGAAAATCATGATCCACGGGCTGCAAATAAGAAGCAGAAGCAAAAGCGTAAACGATCGACCAATCAAATATCTCATAAAGGAGGTCTTTCAATTCAGGAAGCGCATGCTCTTATTCAAAGTCAAATTTCAGATGAAAATCAGGCTGCCGCAGTATACTACGGCCGCAGAGGCGGCTTCTGCACCTAGTGTACTAACTGTGGAACTATTGTACGGACTCGATGCCCTAATCGCTCTAATTCATAATTTTTGTAAATAATTGCTGTTTTGGGTAGATAATAAAACTTCAAATTCTGTATAGTATTTGAAGGTGCGGGTGGGTGATCGGAGCGACCGGGTGATAGGAGCGGCCGGGAATTACGTTATAGTCTAAGGAAACTGAGGTAACACAACCAATGTAACTATTTGTGGTCACGGGATTTTCCTGACGAAGTGTTGGAAAGGGATGTGTAGTATGTTGATTGGGTGGAGGGTCCGGTGGACCCGACGTCTATATAAGCTTACTCAGAACTGACTAAGCAGAGGCGCTAAACCTATAAGGGAAGGCTCTTCTAACACGAAGCAGCGAAACTTATGGACCTTGTGTCCTCGTCAAGCCTTTTAGCTTGGACTGGTCCTGCACTTTTCTGGGCTCTATTTCAGAAAGATAGAAATGTATACTTGAATTCACTTTCCAACATCTTATGGATATCTTTATATAACTATTTGACCAGGTGAAATCCATAATGGAAGTGTGCTCTTTGATACAAAAGTATACTTTGAAAGAGTTTTGCGCTAGCCTATTTTGGAGATCACCTTGAGCGCTACTGTAAAGCGGCGACATAAGGTGGAACTGCCACGAAAACAAGCGTCAAGGCCACGACCTTCCGTGGCCTTTCCGTCGTCACCCAGAGTTACACTGTACTTCTACATACTGTTCTATCAATTTCTGAAGCCGACTGAGGATTTTCCAGCAATCTGTAGGGACTGCGGACCTAACTAAGGATAGTCATCTGCCCGTGACACGCTAGTGGATTCTCATACAAGCCACTGCTTCATGTGCCATTTGGATCTCGATCGAGATCTTAATACCGAATTCATGGTTCTGTTTGTCAGGGACATACGTTATTCCCCTGTAAATTCAATGGAGAATTCTATTAAAGATAGATCAAAAATAAAAAAGAAGAAAGAGATAAAAGAAATCCTTTTGTGATTTCAATCCCTGTGAGGAACTGCGAGTCTGGCTCGATACCCCAACGTTCCCGTCTGATATATTTGAAGTCGTATGTCTCATAGTACCGTTTTTATCTCTAGACCTAAGGTTGTTTTCTCTGGCCGAGTCATCTATTATCCATCGCGCTTGATCTGTTACCCACTTGGGCAGGTTGGTACCTGCCTAAATGGACGTACGGAGTATTGCCCGCTGTCGCACCTTCCTAAAGGACCTAAATACAGACAGGCTAGAACACTGACGCTCTTGGCACTTCTTCATCGGGAAACCTCCACCGAACTGGAAACGAAGTCGGTTACAAGCTTGAAACTCGCGTCGGAGCTTGTCTGAGACCGAGTCGATCACCTCCTTCCTTACATAGCACATTCGTTATTGTTTTGGTTCTAATTACAGGACCCATTATTCTGCCATCCCAGCCGTTTTTCGTCACGATTGCGGCGCTTCCGGAGAATGTCCCGAACATTGAGACTATCGGCCTCGACGTCTCTTTAGCTTTTTGCGTCTATGGGTGGATGATCGTAAACAACAGGCTTCAGATATCCGGCAAAACATCTTTCATTTTTTCAGACTTGTGTTTGCGCAGGTCCCAACTCAGGAGAGAAGATGACTTCTTGGAAACCGTGAATTTCGATCTCAACTCATCAAGCCAAGTGCTCTACGATGATGGTAGGTTCATTTTGAAACGAAGAAAAACCCGCTATTTGTTTTGCGGCGTCCCTAGCAGCCTCTCTGCGAGACCGATTACCCCGTACTGAGACTCGTTCTGTTTGGCTACTCAATGTCGAAGCGGGGGTTCCCAGACTGGATCTGCCGTGCTTTTCGTCTACGGAGACAGGAACATGTCTCAGCCTTTCTATTCTGGGAAGGTCTTTTACCCTTTTGAGCAGCCCTGGTTATGCGCCATAGCTGGAGATACAGTCGATTATCAGAACGGAAGCTTTTTATCCCACATCGCTATGCGATGTAAAACATGAAGCAATGCCGCATGTTGTTAGCTTGCTGCCGATTCTGACGTTCAAACAAACAATAGTTCGGATTCAGATCGCCACCACACACAAGTGTCATGCATTGGATGTGTCAGTTACTAGGGGTTCAATCAGCTATAACCCAGCTATCTCCGGCGTTGTGAAAACAGATAAAGAGCTGCTCTTTTTGTTTCCAGCTCGATTTGAAATTCTTTCTGACAGGTTGGTTAATCCTGGGGAGAAGACTTTTTCTTTCACAGCTCTGTTCACTTTCTTTGATCACCCACTGGCTGGGCTGTTTGCATTCTTTACTGTATTGATTCGTTTGATTGCAAGGTCTTGAAGACCATACTTTCTCTTCTTTTCTGCCAATTCTGCACTGTTGTTGTCCATCTCACCTTGAGAAGCTAGACCAAACTACCACCAACTCCGATTTATCCACCAATCCACGTCTTCTACAGGATCCTATTGGATTGAGAGATTCTGGACGAGTTTCGCCATGTCTTCGGCCGCGACTCTTACAAGTTCTGTCGTTACCTCAAGTCATCATCCGTTTGAACGCCCAGTCTCAACCGGCTACGTGGGCCAGTCGGACTATCGGGTTCACAAGCATCATCGCAAAGTCTCGTCGACTGGCGGGGGCAGAGCGTGGACAGAGGAAGAGGCAAGTGGTCCCTTTGATGAAGGTCGTTCAGATTGATTTAGACTGACTTCTTGAAGGAAGCATACCTCCTTCGTACTCGCATGCACAAGATGCCATACAAGCATATCGCGGCTCATTTGAAAAAGACCGAATTGGCTTGTCGACTCCATTATCACCAGATGTCATACGGTAGCAACAGACGCAGACGAACGGATTCGATCTCCTCTACAGGGTCATATAACTCTACCAGCGGTGTAGGGGATTCCCTCGAAAATCTGCATGGCACACAGCTATCTCCTGTGACTTCCCCTCCATCCAGCCCGGACGTTGGTTCTGAAAAGACTGTTTCTTCCGATTCTAGTCCATTCCAAGCGCAGCGAGCGCCTGTTCCCATTCTTCCTAAACCAGAGGGAACTGGGACTCTATTGCAGTCAGCCTCTGCCGACCCAAAGTCTCTCCGCCTGGATACCACAATCGCCGCATCAAATTCCCATAAATACGTCGGAAATCGAAATTACATTGACCTTGCACGTCTGCAAGCACTCTACGAGGTGCATCGCAGCTCTTTCTGGTCAATGATCGCCTCAGAGTACTCTCAAGAGTCTATATTCTCTGGCCGTCAGCTCGAGGAGGCATTCTTTGCAAATCTGCCTTCGACAACCATCCGTGCAGCATCCCCTCCGACGCCAGGGCCAAGCCCACAGGAGGGATCTCCAGAATTGCCTTATCGATATCTCGGGGCGCCTATCACGTCCTCAACGATCAGTCAGGGGTTTCACGCTGTGAACGGGGCTGCACCAATATCCACAACCAACAAGTCAGCGAGTAGCTCACCAAGCTCTGCAGAAAGGTGCTCCGTTTCTGCCCTACTGACAGTAGAGAAAGAAGTTCGACCTTCGAAGGAGATTGCGGAAGCGGCTACTTAATTTAGCTTCTCTGCGCTAGACGCTGTTGCTAGAGTCACGACTAAGTCCTCGCGAGTTGCATATTATGGCTTTTTGTCTTGTCATTGTCTCTCCCCCAGTTTATTTTATTTGGGCATTTTGTGGGTTGAAGTTATGCTATTGGTATCCTGTCTGGCGTCTGTTATGAATGACCAATTTGGGCAATGTATGGGTTCACTTTCGATCTTCTGAAGGATAAATGCGAATATACTTCCGTTAGCTATTTGTTTTCACTACCGCGATGTCCGTGAGTGACAACATCTGTGGAAAGGATTCAGGCCCGACATTTCGTCAATTTGATTGTAGTCTTGGGAGAGGGATGATGGCTAGGTGTCTATTAGATAAAGGGACATTGGGTGGTCTCTAAGATAAGAGACAACACCAGGAAGAAAGACCTGCATAACTTACCATGTTCTATCTTAAGAAGAGAATTCTCGAAGACACGTTCGGTTGCCAATGCCTTGTTAGTATGGATCTGTATAGCCACGTGATCCGACAAGAACATGCGGCAGTGCCATCTCGATTGGTACATGTACCTCCTTCCTAGGTTATGTGGTGTGTCGCGACGCGCCTGCCTGCAATGGCATCTGTCTATGGTCCAGCGATTCCGGTTTCATTCCTCTCATCTGCACTGTAGTAGTGATTATCTGGATTTTCATTACAAGGGCATTGACTGCGACAGCTTTTTTTTTCTCCCTGTCCTGACTTACTGGCAATTTTTTTTCTCTGTTCTTGTGTGATTGACACGGCTTGGAAACTTCTCTGATGATAGCTAGTTGACGCTTGCCCATTCTGGTGAATATATACCATAGGTCTTCTATCATCATCCAGTACAGAAACCCTGCTGTTTGTTTATCTGCTGGATTCCGATTTATGGAAGAATGTTTTACCTCACTCCTTTGCCTATTCCCTCGATTCATTCATGGTTGCTGATCTGAGACGCGGCCATCTCGGGTCATGAAGTACAGCATACACATAAGAAGTGGACTGGTTGTTGAGAGTGGCAAATGTTTTTGCCAATGTGAGTACGAACATCTGTCGCATTCTGCAGATCTCATCGACATGTATATTGATATGGTCGGTTCATTGAAATGAGTCATCGAGGATACGTGCTTCTTATCAATATACGAACTTCTATGGAAGCCAGCAAAGGAAGATTTTTGCTGACTAAACTAGTTTCCCCCTTGTGCAGGGTGTCCTCCTTCCACAGATTCTCGATGCTGTTGTCAGAGTCAGAAGTATCCAGTCTCCTTCAAAATTTCTCGCATCTTGTCGTCTCTGTACACCATCCTCATGGACGCAATCGGGAACGAGGAAAGGTCAGAAACTGGCCTTATGGTCGGGTTGTCGGCTCCCTGGTTGCAGCGCCTATCACGATCCCTCTTTGCTACAGAAAATATCTATCTCACTAGCTGTCGGGAGTCAAGCTCAGGACCGTACTAACAATGTCACATACCATATGGGCTTTTTCCATCACTCCTTCCCGAATCCGTGTGCTGCTTTTACGGCTCCTGCTACTACTCTATACCTACTGTCCCCACCGTTATGAGCCGTACTGTCTCCTCTCCTGACATTGAGCACCTCCCGTGTATTCTGAATTGGTTGGTTCGTGGTTTCAGATCTGACAAGGTCCGATATCTGATTGCGGACGTCTTTGGCGGTGCAAACAGCGCTGCATATTGACGACTGACTGCAACGGCGTGTAGTTGACTACGAAGATTTCCGGATGAGCTGGCTGGTTGTAAGATCTTACACTCCCATGCGGCTACTAGCTAAGGTCAAGATGAGCCCTTGGACCTAAGGCCGGTTGAAAGGCGGATGCAGCATCGCCACCCTCGAAGAGCAATCGCCGGGAACTGCGGGGTGTCTCTTGTGTTAGCGGAGCGGACCTTGACGAGCGTCCAAGCGACGGGAGAGCGGAAAGATCGTGGGAAGCCAGTGGAGAAATCCCGTTCTTGATGATCATCTTCCCGCGACGGGAATGGAGATCCACAGCCACTGCGCCGCAAGCAGGATCTGGACATCGGATGGCAGACGCTCAACACTTGCAGCATAACAATGTTGTTCACAGCCTCTCCAGAAATAGGTCAGGACGGTTTCACCGTGGCTCTATATATGGAACTGAAACCACGAGTCTGCAATTTCGGCGTCATGAATGCTACCTATATTGGGCAGCTTCTGGATTCTTATTTTATATACTGGCCCCGCGCGGGACGATTAGCAGGAAGGCGGAGCAATGTGAGCATTCCGGTCGAACGCTATTAATATTCAATGTCTGAATAGGCTCTCAGCCACTCCGCACTAAGCACGAACAGCAGGCCATTCCGTACGGAGTACCTGATGTGCTGTTCATGGACAGACAGTACATCAGGTAACTACCTAAGCGATACACCATCGCATCTGCCCCCAAACAGGCAAAGTGACACAGCCGAGCAAACCCGGTGCAGAGCATCTGGCTGGCCGCTGGCCTGGACCTGCGCAGGTGTTTATTAATAATTCCTAGGCCGTTGTAGCGTCCAGCTGGGGCTGTGTCCGCGTCGCAGGCTCGCAGGGAGCGGCGTGCACGTGCCCACTGCCCAGTCGGGATTCGGCGGGAATAAGCGACAGCGAAGGGGAGAATTTTGGCGTATTCGGATTTCGGAGTTCTCGGTCTTCTCGCTGCCTGCCCTCGAAGTTGGCCCTTTTGTCCTTCAGCCTCAGGAGAAAAGTTGCGCCGTCGGGCCCGTCCGTGCCGGGATTAAGCGCCCGCTTGGGCCAGTTGCAGTCGCCATCTCCACTGCCTGGAGGTGAAAGGTCGACCCCCAGCAGCGCTGCAGCCCATGTCAATGTAACTGCTCCATGCCCCTCGGTATGGTGTGCGCAGTGCGGCTGGCACGCGCCGGCGCCCTGCTAGATGCTTGGACGACACGTGGCTTCCAGGCCAGCAGGGAAACCGTCGTCGCCGGTCGTTGTCACTTGTCGCCGGGCAAGGGCTCATGATCGATCATCCAGCTGCCCCGCTACGATGCCCAGGCGCCAGGTATCCGCCTGAGGCTGCCTAGTGGGGTAGAGCGACATTGTCTTCGAGATCGTCTGATCCAATTGCTTGACATCCACCCCTCCCCAGATCGGGAGCCTCATGGACCCAGCGCTTAACGGCCCACCGTCATTTACGGAGGATTCCTCACGACGGAACGGGACGCTCGCGAGGGCACTGCCGCTCCAAAGGAACAAGAGAGAGTACGTCTTTTGGCCCCAGCCTAGTGGAATGGAGGAAGAGATGCACGCCCATGTCAGTCGGGGTGGATGTCCTCGTGGCCGTGCCAGGATCTCCGCGGCCGTTTGTTTCGTGCCCTGGAGCCAAATGATCCGTAAGGAACAGCGCGGTGATACCATCGCGTGGAAACAGAGCAGTACCGACGTAACCTGTACCCGTCACCGTCCCATGGGAGCACCACGGCGCCAGTCCAGGCCAGGCCAGGGTGGGCTTCCGGACGCTAGAGAGCTCTCCCAATTTGCAAATGCTCAGTGGCGGTTCTGGAAAACCGCCGGATCGTGGTGCTTGGAGCTTTGCGGTTTAGCTGGATTGCCGTCTAATAGCGACCGGCGCAGGCAATGTTCCTATTTCCCAGTCGGGCGGTGCTAGCCTGGAGCGCACAATCTCGGCTTTCCCTGTCCTGTGCAAGGACCCCTGTTAACGCCTTTGCTGCATCTCCACAACGCATTAACGACGGCGATGGCGGTTGTCTGCACTGCCTATCTAGACCGCCCAAGCCAAGATCTCGCCGCGGTCCCTTCTCTTCGAACGCCCAGCGCAGTGGGTCAGCAGAGATGCTTGCTTCTACTAGTCTTCGACACCCCAAGATTTGGGGGCGAGGCCCTTCTGCCTTCGCTGGTGGATAAGGGCCCGCTGTAGGGGTAGGCGACTAGCCTGTTGTCGTTGATCGTAGGCGCTTAATTGCAGAAAAGCTCCAACTCTGGCATCCGATGTCTACGACCTGTCTCGTGGCACAGCTTCGCTGGCGGTACTGACTCGCTCGCTTCGAGCTCTCTCAGCCTGTTGACGAGATTGCTCCTTCATTTCATCGCTGCCTTGTGGACAGCCTCTGCGGATCATCTCTATCAGGCCCCCGCGACTTCAATCCTACGCGGTTGGATCTAAACTCTGGGTCTTCGCTCGTGGACTTTAAAAAGACCGCATTGGAAGGTCGACCAACGTTGATCACAGAGGATCTTTCTGGTACAACAGAAGGACCCTTTCTTTCTTCTTGCTCATCCTCTTTCTTCAATCCCTTTTTGACTTGCGGGTTTCGTCATCACCCGCCGCATCTTATCAGGCGCAGCCTGCCTCCCGGTCTGGAGGCGTCATGCTACCACCAGCTCTGTGGTCTCCCGTTGAAGTCATGTCTTACCCACTCGGAAATTCCGGGCAACCTGAACGCATGGAAAACTACTTGGAAAGTGTAGACCCTCATTGGGCCGGCGCAGAGACAGTACGTGTGGAAATGGGAAGATGTCATTTGAACTGTCCCGCTGACTGTTGTTCCAGTCTCCCTTTGTCGGCGAAGTCTCTCATCCCTACACGACGGCTCATGGTTCTGCTGCGGCTCTGACCCCGATCAGCGTCGCCGATAGCTCATTCCTCCCGCCCAGACCCAGTCCGGTCCTGAGTCATCACTCGCAGGAGTATCAATACCCAGCTATCGACGACTCTGTCGCCCGTCACGGGTTGGGCATCACCACTCCGTACCAAGGGCAATTTGTCCAGGCGACCCCCTTCGAGTTTGGCTATCCCCCTGGAGCAGCCGAGTTTGGTGGTTACGGCTCCGAACATGGTCTTGATTCTCCTCAACCGCCCCGATCGAAACGGCCACGTCGGCCCACCAGAACGACACCGCCGATGCGATACTCCCCAGTCAGAATTCTTCCTCATCCTGCCGGGCTGCAGCGTTTAGAACAGGAGCGACGCCAGAGTCAGGGGAACGATTCTCCGCAGCGGGAGCCGCAGCGGCCGCGGGCCTCAGGCAGAGGTCGACGAGATCCCCAGGCGGAAGAGGAGGATGCCTACGTCGAGAGTCTACGCCAGCAAAATCTGTCATGGAAGGTCGTTGCCGAGATGTTCCGGGAGCGATTCAACAAAGAGTCGACCGAAGCACGGCTACAGATGCGGATGCTCCGAAGGCGAAAGAGCGCGGCCGCATGGCATGAGGCTGATGTGAGTATGTTTGGCCGCCCCAGGACTGTGATTGATCGAGATGTTAAATCTTCTGCTCCAGATTCCTCTACTCCTCGAAGCTCATGAATATTGGCAAAACGAGAAATACAAAATCATCGCAGCGAAGGTACGTCGAATTCGGCCTTTTTTACATACTTTTGATACTGACCATACCTTTAGCTACAAGAACTGGGGGCGACACGGACATACACAGAACAACAATGTGAATCCCAGCTACGGATACTCCTCGCGGGGGGGACGGAGGAGGAGACCAATATCCCACCACCTCCACCTCCTCCACCACTTCCTCCTCCTTCTCAATCACCGGATTCTCAACGCCCGGCAAAACGAAAACGTACACTAGAAGTTACAGAAGACCAATGACTTTTGTTGTCCCTTGTTTTTCTTCTTGGTTCATTTTTTTTATGGTCTATAATTTGGCATTTGACATAATCTGGGCGGGAGTGGAGGCTACATTGAGGTTAGGGTGTTTTGTCTGGTCTGGATTCTTGGTTGGCGGTTGTGCATCGGATTATGAGCTTATGACGATTCATTCTGATTGGACGATTCTCACCTTCATTCGCAATATACCCTTTGGAGTGAACCTTTTTTTTCTCCCCCCTAAATCCACAAGCTATAGCGACCATGAGCTGAATAAAAGCGACGTGACATGATGGGCGTCCTGAATTCGCTATGCAAGCAAGCAAGCTAGGAAACCGGCTCAGCTGGGCTGCGGCAATCAATCATCCGTCAAGGTGGTGACTACGCGTTTCATCTTAGCTGCTGATCACGGTCAGTGCACCAGAAGAAAAAAGGGGTGGGGTGACGCGTTCGGTTCTGTCATGATCCCCAATCTACTTGTTAGTGGAATCTTTCCTATGATAAAGTTCCGCAGCCATCCCACCAGCGCCCACGCGAGGCTCAGCGCGCGTAAAGCGCGAAGTATGTGGCCCGAACGAGGGTCGGCTGGCGTAAGCGAGCTGAATGCATTTGATGAATGACTACATAACTAACCTAGAACGCAGTATTGCATGTTCTAGAAGAAATCGTCAATCAATGAATCTAGCAAGCCAACCAGCAAGCAGACGTCATTAAAAAACTCCGGTTTGATTCGTCTGTTCGTCTAGCGCTTCTTTTTCAGCCCGCTTCCTAGGGTGTCCTAGGCAGTGCTTCAAGGCTTTCAACGGTTTTTTTCGAGGTGGGGGGGCCAAAACGCTAGATGCAGACTGCGCATAGCCGTCGAGATCGACCGGCACGTTGCACGCCAGGATCAGGGATGGGGGATGCGTTGCGCTAGAATTTTGACGTGCTGAGACTGGAGTCCTGACGCTGACAGGCACAGCAGTCTGACGTCCAATAATGATTACGCCTCAGGCCCAAACAGGTCACACAGACCCGGTGACGGGACAATTTTTTAGACTTGACGCATGGATGGCATGGGCGTGGCCGATTAGCGCAAAAACGTAGCGAAGCGAGGACGATGGCTGGTTTCAGACTTTCAGCTCTCTCTCCCTTTCTTACCAGATTGGGGAGCCCTGTCATGAGGAAGCGATGAAGATTATCGTCATTTATTCTTTGGCAGGGTTACTGACGTTATTGAGCATGTGGTTCCGGACAGGGGCTAAATTAGAGGGGGCGCCGCCAGGATTTAGATGCCTGGCGCAACTCCAGCCTCCCCGTTGTGGCTCCACCGTTCCAGAACGTCCTTCCACGAGACCACGACTGCAAGCGCCCAGCTAGGCGAGGCGACTAAGCGATGCAGAATGCCAAAACTAGCTTCTGCTGGCAGCAGCAGCAGCAGCAGCCAGCAGCCCAGGAGTCTGGTTAACCCGTACGGAGGACGGAACATCTCGGGCCGGCTACTAGAGCGTGACTATTCGTCGATCTCCACTCTTCACCTGATATTCAGCATTTCCAGCCCATCTGGAACGGTTACTGATCTACGGTGATCTGTGCCAACCGGCACGGCACAGCGGAGATAGACCCAGGCTCTGTACTCCGTACGGAGTAAAACGAACTCAGAGCCCGAGCAAGGGCTGTCGGTCGGAAGTCCAGTTGGTCCGTCCGCGTACGGCGCATGGCGTAAGGCGTCCTCGGTACGCGAGCCACCCAATTGCTGGCTGAGAATACCCGCTGGCGGCCCGGCAGAACAGGTAATTTACGTACGGAGCACGTAACACGTCGATGCGGCATCATGTGCTGTCAGCCCTGCCAAGAATAGGTCAAGCCAGAAGCCAAGTCAGCCAAGAATCAAGACAAGCGAGATGCAAGTGCGCATTTACGTTTGGAAAGCGATGTCTCAGTTAATCGCGTCTGACAGGTGGCCTTGACGGAGTAGATACAATCATATCACAGTATCCATTCAGCTGAGTCGACTCCTCCACCGCCCCATCCATCCATCCATCCAAGATCACCTTGGCAGATTTCGTTCTCCGGACGGAGGACTCGACAGGAAAAGGTATTCTATTAGCGCAGAAAATCGCCGACGATGGGCCATGCAGACGATTAGGGCGGTTTCAAGGTTAAGTCCGTTGCGGGCGGAACTTTGGTAGCGTCCCGGTCACTTGACCACGAGCTAACCGTTAACGGTGTTATTTGTCAACGCGGGCCCACTATCAATTAAGGTCACTACGAAGGACTGTACAGTACTCCTACACGTACGGAGTTCCGTTCAGAGTATGTACTCTGTACGGATTGGAATAATGAGACGGGCACAGAGAGAATCCGCTGAGTTTTGCTAAGAAAAAAAATTAGGTCTGAGTACGGAGTATTATCTACACGAGATACCTCCGTAAGAAGGATCGATAATAGTAATCTGCCCGTGGAAGCACGTGGACGGTGCGGAGCTAACCAAGTGTAGATAGATAATTACCTCAGTCACAGTCACCTAGGTAGTCGAGGGCTACCTCCTGGGCTAGGCACTGAGTCAGCCTTGGGGACTCGTGACAAATACCTTGAGTCATTACAAATCTGTCAGTTGCTATTGGCGGATCGACAAGGCAGCGCAGCATGCTACAGCAGCATATGCCCTGTTTCAGCAATTCGTTTACAGAGTATTCATGAGGATCTTTGATGAATTTTTTTAATCCACGCTCCAGACCAATCAGTGCGATGACTACCTAATGTATTGTTGATATCACCGTGGGGGATGAATCGCAAAAATCTGGAACAACAGGAACAGGATCAGACGAAGCGAAGCGAAGGATCGAAAAGTTACCTATGTTATGGAACCTTGGACCCTGGACACTGGACACTGGAAACTGGAGCCCTATGATCCCCCATGATGATGATCACCGCAATCCCTCTCAATGTGAGATATGCAACCAGGATCCTCGCTTAGGAGAAGCTTGCTGATCCAGGGTCCGACGTACAGTACAGTATATATACGTAAGTCAACTCCGTACAAGGAAAAAGGTAGGATACCTATCCCTGTCATTATGATTATTAATTCATCAAGCTTAACGTAATCCACCACCGAGCTGCGCGGACCACCGAGCTGCGCGGCCACCACCTCGGCCACCCCCTATCATCGGATTTATCGCGATTTACCAACGCACCGCGTCATGGCTGATATATCAAAAGAAGGGCGTATGCAATTAGCACTTGAAGCCTATAAGAAAGGTCTTTTTCCATCAAAAACTGCAGCTGCCAAAGCTTTGACGTGCCTCCAAGGACCTTTATGACACGTGTTAATGGGACTACTGCTCGCAAAGATT